TATAACAAGAACAGAAAGGAACATACATACTATAACAAGAACATAATAACTAAAATGTGAGCCACTATTTCATGGCATATCAATATACTTGTGTCATGTTTTGTAACCAGCATCTCCTGGAGGGAGAGCGCGAGTTTGTGTATAGATCTATACGGGATTGACCATCCTACACCTTGCTGCTAGCTACAGTGGGACTTGCAGGTCTACGGGTGACAAATGTCATACCATTTTCAACATCTGAAGAACGTCTTGTTTTATACTAGTCAATAAAGCATGGTTATAACTTAGTCACATTTTTACCTTAATTAACAATTTGGTTTTAAGATAGTTAGTGCTTCAATAGAGTATTTTTATACAAGCACTACTATACATCTTCATTTTCCATTACATTTATACAGTGATATTCTCACATAAGAAATACATACAATTGTTCGTGTAAAGATAGTTTTATGAACATGGAAAACCCACATTTATACTATTACAAGTACAAACATACATCTTACATCATTTTTCAAAGAGAAACAAACATACAAAACAGTTGAGTCTTGTTAGAAGACTACTTTTCATTTTAGTAGAAAATATAGGATTTTCTATGAAGTAATACCAACATTTACATCAAAACACTTACAAACATTTTCATGAAGCAGATGCAAACTTTTGACACAAAAATACTTATGCACTCACTTAACTTTCATGTTGATACTCTCTTTTCAAAATAACTTGTATTCTCAGGTTAATAGCAGACAGGTAAACTGGACCAGGTTTTGAGAAGACGGAGCATGTTCAAGACTTGTCTTTTATTTTGCTATATTGTTGGTATCTTACAAACTATACACAGAACACACATGTATAAACTATATTATCAATGCAATGGATGATGTTGTTGCTTGTTTTACTATTGTGCATTGTTATGATACTGTACATGACGTCCTCTGCCCACGAACGTTTCCGCCGTTCCGGTTTGGGGGTGTAACACCTGCTCATTTATACTTCATCCTGATCATTTTCTGTTTAAACTAGTTTTCAAATAGCCATTTGAGTATTTTAGTGTGTTTACCATTCAAACACTTGTAACTAAATCTTTATGAATATGAGACATTTGAATCATTGATCTTGAGCATATAAAGCGTTTTTATCATTAACTTGGTTGATTCACAACTTTTTGTTTTCCGTATTACTTTACATTTGATGATTATGAAACTCTCTTTTAGTATTTTCAACATTTTGACTCTTCAAGTCTAGGTTTACTGATTTTATCATTTCTTCACAACAATGTTGTTGAAAAAACATTGGAAGCTTATAATCGAGAGATTTAACTCTAAAATGTTCGGATGGCAAGCCAAGACTCTCTTTTTTGGTTTACATTAATCAAAAAATGAGATTGGTAACTTACTGAGTTATAATTTCTCTCTCTTTAAAGCTCCCAACGGTGTTATCAATAGTCTTGAAAAGATTAGACATAAATTCAAATCGGTATGTGGAGAAAATTAGACCAAGATGCATTGGGTTGCTAGCTCCAAAGTAATGGCTTCTTAAGAGATTTGTGGCTTAGGACTTAGGAGTTAGGTCACTAAAAGCAAAAAATATTTCTTTACATACAAAGTGATGATGGAGATTAAAAATATATTCTAACAACCTAAGGAGAGATCTTATGTATATAATTCATAATTTGTTGAATAAGTCGGTGTCTTATATAGCTAATAAAACAACTCTTGGAGTTTGGTGTGACATCTCAAAAGTCTTGAATAGCCTTCCCGTGCTAGACATTGGTATATATAATTTATTTTCACTCATTCCTAGGTATAGTGTCGATTTCCTATTCTGGAAAGACAAATGGATTGGTCCCTACACGCTGCAAGATAGGTGTCTACTTTTGTATTCCCTTGAGTATGTGAAATGTTGCCTCTTCTCACAATGGTATTATAGCAGCTGTTTTTCTTGGAATTTGAAAAAAGACCCTAGCAAGCTGATGTTTTGGTTGAATTGAACTCTTTCTACTCTCACTTCTTGGTTCTTTAACGTAAAATAACTCCCATGTTGGATTTTTATTTAAGTTGGTTGCATACGATCGTTACACATTGATGTTTTTAGAAGGTTTCTAAACTCCAAGTTGCTGCGCTCTGTTGAGTATTCTGTTGGTCAAAACTCACTTCCCTGAAAGTTAAGTGTTTCATATGGAGGGATACGATAGGTAGAATTGTAGTTGCCGATACGCTTGCAGACAAGGGCATACTTGTCCAATATTCATTATGTCCTTAGGTACCGATGGCATAGCTATTGTGGATCACGTGCTTATTAAATGCGCCCCCCATTGTTGACAATGTTTTCTCCTTTCATATGTTTGGTGTAATTACATAAGTAGGTTAGGCTCTCGTAGTTGGGTAGTTTGGAGTGTTTTGCTTCTTGCTCATCTAATATGTATCCGAGACCTTATTGTGTTGCCTACTTTTTAGCCTATTGCTAATCGTGGGGTTTTATTTCAATTATATTTCATTGTTTCCAAAAAAATATAAAAATATCAAACAGTACTCTTAAATTTTGATATAACTTATTAGATTCATACATTGAGATTTAAAACGTATAAGAAGAAAAAGCAAAAGATATAGAGAAGGTAAAGAAAAAAAAAGTACATATCTCTTGTTGGCAAAGTGGTCTTCTTTAAGCAAAAAAAATAAATAAATAAATAAAAAATAAAAATAAAAAAATAAAAAAAAAAGGATCTCGCATGATATAAGAGATCTTCTCTTTTCACTGTGAACTTATAAAGAATTCTCATATTGATATAAATGTATAAAGTTAGCATTTTTGAAAAAATAAATGAGGACTAGTTAAGAACAAATAATGTAATCAAGTCTTCTTTTTATCTAAATCAAATTCTTGATTGGACCAACCGGAAACAATTTGGAATATCAAGTTTGGAGTTCTCAAACACAGAATTTGTTTTCGTTATTTGTTTATTTATGATTGAGTTTTGAAAAATAGTTATTAACTTATCAGTTTATTAGTTTATTAGTTTTCCAAAGAGCCAACAAACTTGATAAAATATTTGAAAAAAAAAATTTGAAAACAAATTTTTACCATCTATAATAAAAAGTCACTTCTTATTTTTTAAAAAGGTTTATTATTTTTTCACCTAAAATGACCATAAGTTTATAGAAACATATTTTTTAATGTTTATAAATTTATAGTTTCTTGCTGCCACATAAGATAATCAAGAATTTTTTTTAGAAACTCCTTGTCACTATATAAACTAATAGTCACTCGTTTTAAAAATATTATTAAGTTAAATACGTAATCTCAAACATCCCATGTACACTTTTATATAAATACTTATGTTGATCATATTGGTTTAAATGTAGATACTGTACTATTAGAATCGAAGGAGAGTGATACGGTTCTGGTGTGGTACCCAAGACTACCTTCATGGCCAGATCCTTTGGTGACACAACTTAGCGACATTTTTCATGATTTACGTTGTACATGTGCATGGAATTCCTCACTTCCTACGTTCCAATGATACATATTTTCTTACTATTTGACTTAGTCTTTCCCGTGTTGGTTTATGGTGCACGTTTATATTAACCATGTTGCATTATTCCTATTTTCTTGCTTATTTTACTATTTAAGAAACCATGTATTTGCATTTGAGGAGAGGAGAAAGAAGTGCTATTTTAGTCTAATTGTTGTCTTTATTCTTGGGAGATTAGCTATCTCGAATTGGCTTTATCTTCGAGATTGACAATCTTTAATCGGTTTATATCAATCGGTGCTTTTATTCCCGACCTTGCAATGCCTCCCCACCACCATTCTTCATTGGAAGATCAGTCTTTTGCCTCTGTAGCCGATCAATTGGCTCAACTTGTTGCTATAACTATCGCCAACAACAACCGCCTCGACGCCATCGTCGCCAAACTAAGCGAGACTACTGAAATTCTAACTACCACATTTATCAAAAGAACAAATATAGGGACTATCACATCACAACCGCTGCCATCATCGCCGCCAACACCGCCACCGACATCTCCATCACAACCGTGGATGCTAACAACGCCTACATCTCCACCGTCAACACGGTCGACACCCTCACCTTCACCAATCCAATTGAAGATACAACCGTCTTCGCCACCATCACCAAAGGAACCGCTCCCACAAACGTCATTGGCAACTACTTATTAATATACACGACATCTCAAGCTATTTTTCAGTCTGTTCGACCAACGATTTCCCACCCTCTTTACTCTCAATGTTTTCTTGCGGGACCTCGAGGACAAGGTCATTATTAAGGGTGGAGGAATTGATATGGTTTTGGTGTGGTACCTAAGACCACCTCCATGGCCAGATCCTTTGGTGACACAACTAGCGACAGTTTTCCTGATTTACGTTATACATGTGCGTGGAATTCCTCACTTCTCACTTTCTAATGATACATATTTTCTTACTATTTGACTTAGTATTTCCCATATTGGTTTATGGTGCATGTTTATATTAACCATGTTGCATTATTCCTATTTTCTAGCATTAGTGGTCTTTTTTATTTTACTATTTAAGAAACCATGTATTTGCATTTGAGGAGAAGAGAAAGAAGGGTTATTTTAGTCTAATTATTGTCTTTATTCTTAAGAGATTAGCCATCTCGAATTGACTCTTTCTTGGAGATTGACAATCTTTAATCGGTTAATATTAGATAGAGCCAAACAAAGCAAGTAATCTTGTATTGTTTACCAAAGTGATTTTATTTTGCATATTTAATTGTATGTCGGTTAAGTTTGACTTGTTTAACTCGTGGATATTTATTCAATAATAACTTAAAAGTTATAAGTTTGAATCCTATATTTATTATACATAATATGTATGGGTAAATGGATGTAAAAAATGGTAAAGTGTAATGTTTTAAAAATCAGTTTTAACATGTTAGTTGAACCGAAAACCAGGGACGAGAGCGGCTGAATAATAACCAGTTTATGTTAATTTCTAGACCGGATCAAACCGGAAGTTTTTTTAAAAAAAACCAAGTTGAACCAAACTGGTAAAAACCCATTTAACCCTGTTTATTGGATTTGAATAGTTGGATTTCACTTAGCTCATTAAAAGAACAACTTATTTCCAACTAAAACACTGGTTTTTAAAACATCTATAAACCATATCATTTAAGCAGTACACGTCAACCTACTTCAAGGCCCACACGGGAGATCAATAGTGGAATATTAAGAATATTTTGGGCATGTCAGAGTTTTTAAACCTTGGACTTCCTATACAGAATTTTACACCTTAACATCTACGATCCGATCACGTAGGCAATGGATGTATGATATGATAGAGGCTTTTTTATTTGCATTAATCTTCGATTCTTCGTCACTGGACTTTGTAAGATATCTTGAATTGGGGCCATCAATCAATCTAAAAAAGTAGCTTTTCTTGGAGTTGGGATTACATTTTAGCTACTTCTTTGGTTGTTGTTCAACTAAATTCGTTTTTAATTATCTTGGGTTGTGAGTTCGGTCGAATATGGCTTGCATTGTTTCTTGATAATTTTTGTATTGCCCAAGGAACTTTGAAGTCCTTATCACAATGTGGTGATTAAGGAGAGTCCTGGAGTACAAGTAGGTTTTAATTAGGTTTCAAAGTCCTTGGTTAATTAGTTATCTATATGTGAGGTATATATATAGATGGTTAGAGTTAATTGTGAGTTATGACATTACAGAGAGGAGAGGGTTGTAATCTAAGGTAGTGTTTGTTTTTTGTCTGCAGATCTGCGAGACGTCTTCTGTCTGCACCGCGCAGACCACGCGCAGACATTAGTCTTTGCAGACTGTTTGTTTTTTTAAAGACTGCAGACCTAAAAAATGTCTGCGCGCCCTCTTCTTGGCGCAGATGTGGACCAGAGTCTTCTAACATCTTCAGACATCTTCTAGCTTAAAAAAACATATATATCTTTATTTTTTTTAAGTTTTTTTTTTAATTTATATTTTTTCCAACTTTATGAATGATAAACAATATGAAAAAAAAATTACAAAACTTAAAAAAAAACATTTGACGATACAAACATGATATTCTTAACAAATTTATAAATAAAAATTTATTATAATAATAGTCGTTGAAGTTGTTTATATAAATCTGAAAAAAAAAATCATAATATATTCTTATATTTTTTTGCCAAAATTTTGTAAAACTTTATTTAATAGAGTATCATCAATTTCTCGAGAAAATATTTATCGTACGTTTTTAATATATTTATTTGAAAAAATCGAAGTTTATTTCCATCTATTTATGTATCAAATTCTTTGATCACTAATTATAATGTTTAGTTATAACTTTGCAATCAAAGTTGTTGGTTTTTATCAAATATGTATATGAATTAATACCATTTTTATTTTTATTTTTTATATAATAATACATAAAAGTTGATCTAGATTCGTTATATATTTATAATAAAGTCGTAAAAATATATAAAAAATTCGCTTTGAAGTTTTAAAAAACCAGTTTATTTAGATTTCAGTTTATTTTAATAGCCCGCAGATGTTAAAAAAACAAACAGTCTTCTTTTTTCAGACTGCAGACGTTTGGTCCACCTCTTCTACTGCAGAGGTCTACAGATGTGGTCCGCAGACTGCAGACATTTTGTCTCAGAAAAAACAAACAGCACCTAAGTTTGAGTTAGTTTTTTGAATATAAAAAGTTATTTTCCTGAGTTTTTCTATTCCAATTTAAATCATTAATTGGTATCAGAGCGTGACGTAGAAATCTAATCCAACAAGAATGATAGGTCCGGTGGATCCAGGCACATCCGAGAAAAAAAGAAGGCACATCACTTTTGCTTCATGTACCATATGTTGAATTCTACAAATTACATAGTATGGTCAATCCGAATGAAGGTGATTCTTAATGTGCACCAGGTTTAGGATACCATTAATCCAGGATCGACTAACTCAACAAAAAATAATGTTGTTACTAATGTTCTATTCCAATCGATACCTGAAGACCTCATGCTACAAGTCGGCACGATGAGCACAAGAAAAGAAATCCGGGATGCAATCAAGACCCATCATCTAGGAGTTGGAAGGGTATGAAGAGAACGATTGTAAACTCTCACTACCAAGTTTCACAATTTGAAGATGAAGGAAACAAACACTATCGATGAATTTGCAAGTAGTCTCTCAAGCATCATATCAAAGTTAGCATCTCTTGATGAAACCATCCTAGAAACCAAATTAGTGAAGAAATTCCTTACTATCTTCCAAGGAAATTCGCTCATATTATTGCCTCAATATAGCAGGTTCTTGTTCTTAAAAATATTGGATATGAAAATGTGGTAGGAATACTGAAGGCTTATGAAGAATGTGTGTGTAAAGATGAACCCTCCATCGATCAAGGAAAGTTGTTACTCAACAATACGACTTCTTCCAAAAGAAACATTGATGCTAACAGAGGAGGACGAGGGAGACGTAGACTAGGGTGAGGACGAGGAGAAGGTCGCCAATCTTAGAATCAATGTCGATCCACACGTGTTCCTAATGAAGAATATAATAAACCTAAGACGAAAACAAAATATAGGTCAACGGTCCAGTGTTAAATATGTGACAAATTCGGTTACTTTGCATCCCAATGCCTATAACGAAAAGCAAAACAGGAAGAAGCTAACATGGCTAAATTTGAAAACCATAACCCATGATTATTCATGCTATAGTTACTCCATGAGACGGTGTTCTTACACGAAGAAAAGGTGATACCTACCAGATATGAGACAAAAAACGATGAGAATGACATGCGGTATCTAGACAATGATGCAAGTAACCATATGACAGGAAATATATTATTCTTTACTGAGATCAATTGACGTATTAGTGGACGAGTAAAATTTGGAGACGACTCCTTTGTCGAAATACAAGGAAAAGGATCCATACATTTTGAAGGCATTGAAGGAGTCCAAAAACTATTGACGAACATCAACGGCATACCCAAGCTCAATGCCAATATAATCAGTCTGGGGCAACCAACGAAGGTGGGTTGTGAGGTATCAATGAAAGAAGACCAATTACTTCTTTATGAAAGTTATGAAACTCTTTTGTTTAAAGTGAAATGTTCCTCAAAAAGGTTATACAAGACAAGAATCCCAATTACAAGATCCATTTGCTTACATAGCTACCTTAGAGACCAAAATTGGTTGTGGCATGCATGGTTACGTCATTTAAACTTTGACAAAATTTCAAATATGTCAAATAAGGATCTTGTTATCAGCTTACCACCTATCTCAAGGAACAATCAACTATGTGAGTGGTGCATAGTGGGAAAACATTGTCGAAAAAACCTTTCCCAAATACCTCCAAGTTTCATGTAAAAGAAACTTTGGAACTTATTCATGGATATTTTATTTTATCCAATCTCACCATCGACCATTGCTGGAAATAGGTATATCTTTGTTTTAGTAGATGATTACTCACGATTCATGTGGTGCTACCTTATGAAAGAAAAGAGCAATTCAATAACCTATTTCAAGAAGTTAAAGATTATCGTAGAAAAGGAAACAAATAATTTAATGTGTGTGTTTCGAACAGATAGAGGTGGTGGGTTTACTTCATAAGAATTCGATACACTTTGTAAAGATCAAGGAATGATAAGACATCTTACAACCCAATACACGACACAACAAAATGTGGTAGAAGAAAGACAGAATCGTACTCTTATCGAGATGACACAAGTATCTTCAAAGGAAAACAAGTTCCCAACTACCTTTGTGGTGAAGCAGTTACTCATGAAACCTACATCTTAAATCGGATTTCAACAAGAGTGATGAAAGAGATAACTCCATATGAGTTACACTACAAATGAAAACCCAACATTCAACATATACAAGTATTTAGATGTATTGCCTATGCAAAAGAAGTTGGAACATATTTGAGGAAGCTTGATGACCCATCAAGAAAAGCAATTCACCTTGGATCATAACCAAGAATAAAAGCATGGATATTGTATGATCCAACATATCACAAAATTATTGTATCACGAGATGTAATTTTTAACAAAGACGCAAATTGGGATGAGAAATCTCTAAATGATTCTAACTCAACCTATAAACCAGGATTCATTGCTCATGTATTGTAGATACGGGTGAAAGATCTATAACAAACGCAACAAACCCCGATAATGGTGAACAAACAAGAGCATGAAGTGGTGAATGT